GGAAGGCTGTATTTCTCAGGAGCATTGTTATGCTGTGATGCTCTGGAGATTGGACAGACCGCATGTGTTGGAGAGGAGTGGGTATGTTTATGATGCCTCTAGGTATGTGGTTATAGAGACCTGCCAAAATCCAGAGTGCACAGAATTGTAAACTTCCAAGTATTACTGGATTCCAGCTGCAAAGTGTTAGCAGGGCTCCTTAGAAAATCTGCATTTGATTCAGCTGTGGAGGTTACCAGCAACTGCAGAATTAGCGATGAATGCATTTGCTAACTGTGCCGTTAAGAAATGAGCAATGGATGGATGGAGGAAGGAAGTGCAGAGCTGCTCTGAACACCTACCATCCCTATAGGCTCCATCCTGCATAGGCATAGATGAGAAACAGAAGCTATAGAGGGGTCAGTCTAAGGAGTTGTACCAGTCTTTTCTGAGCTTAGAAATCTTTGCGTTCTGCTTTTTTCTTCCTGAATACTACACAGTTTCCTTTCAGTGAGACCTAGTAAGAGATTTGGGGTTTTCTCTTTTTGAGATTGCTACTACCCAATTAACATTCCTAAACCCTCACTTGGTTACATGCAGTTAAATGCATGTCCCCTGCATCCTCCCTCCCCTCCCCAGAGGATCGGGATCCCTGCAGGTATTCAGATCAAGACTTGGCTGTTTCAGAGCCTTCCTGAGTGGGAGGTGACAGCTGAATAGCATTTTGCTTAAGCGCTCGTGTTAATCAGGAGTGTCAGCCACAGTCCTCAGGACTGGGTCTGCTTCTCAATCCACCTCTAAGTGTAAAGTAGCCAAAGAACAAGGAAAATGCCTTTTCCATGCAGCCTCTTCTATCCAGCTCCCCAGGAAAAATATGATATAGGAACCAAAGGAAAGTGGTAGAAAACAGTGCCAAGTTATTTTCCATGCTGTGTTGCCCTTCCCGAGTCCGCAAGTGCACCCATAGCAAACCAGCCATCCATGTACTCTCACACCCCGTTTTGGGGGCATTCTCTGTGCCAGCAAAGTGAGCTGTGGCTGGCAAATCACTTGGGCAAGTAGTGAAAACAGATTTTCTCCCAGTACAGGTATATAGAACTGGTTCTGATGCTTAAAATGAGGCTTCATCACACATTTAACTTTATTCAAGCAGCCCTGTTATCCTTGGCTAGCACCTTCCTCAACAGAACTATCCAAAGTGGAAAGTTAGCCCTTCACCTCCATATACTATTGGAGGAAACTGTATGAACAAGGTATGGTGGAAATGCGGTTGTTCGGAGCTCCTTGACACAGACAGGCACGTCCTACACACTCCTACGTGGAAGGTGTAAGCACTTCTGGCTTTTGTCACTGTTCCTGACCCTATCTCTTTCTGAATTACCTTGCTGCCTCGTTTTCTGCTCCTATCCTCTTTAGCTGCTCTTCCTTCCTATGGTGCATAATCTCCCCAGCCCATGGTCTCATCAAATGTAATCAAGATGGTCCAAAATATTCTAGAGGAGTCAGAACAGCTCCTGCAGAGCCAGGAGGCACCTGCTGCAAAATGGAAGGGTACTCATTTGTGTGGATATCCCTGGTCAAAAACTGCTGGCAGTGCAAATTCTGTCAAAAAAACCTATTTGTTGAAATCAGCAGTTGAATGGGAAAGTGTTGATTTCAATGAATTTTTTTCAGTGGTGGTGTGGGGAGGGAAGAGGGAAGCCAGCAATGGGTTTTTTTGCTTTTGGCTAGTGTTTGAAATTGCCTTAGAAAAAAAAATCAATTAAATCCTATTGTATAACATGCAAGTTTAAGTGAAATGAAAGGGAAAAGTTGAAAGGAAATCTGTTGAGGAGCTGCTAATTGAAGGAGTTTTGAATTTGCCTTGTAAGAAACATCAACATTTTTGCTGTCCTTGTTGTGATTTGGAACGAGTCTCCCCTACGTGTTGGAATTTCCCACAGAACAGATGTTCAGCCTCTTAATTTGTGCTTCATCAGCAAATACTTGAATTTCCAAGACTGCGTGTCTTTTCTCAGCTGTAGGGTGGCAGGAGCCAGAGGACCCCTCCCGAATCAGAGCTCGTCTCACCAGAGGTGTAGGTGTGCCCATGCCAGAAGGCTTCTGCAGCCGCTGGTAAGCGTGTGCTCCTTTGGTGTGAAGGCTGCGCTTCCCTAGGTAGCATCCTGATTAAATAAGGCCTGAGCACACTGGCAAATGCTCACATGCACAAAATTAATCCATGCATTGATATTTGCAAGGATTTTAAGTGAGCTATGGGGAGGAAGATAAAGGTAACACACGTCTGAAGTATGCTCTATGCAAGGCAATGCTGGGGCCCAATGCTATTTTTTTTTTCCTGTGCCTGCCATTAGTGAATATCTTGCCAGAACAAAAGCTGAGGTGGGTGGATAAGGACTTGTAGTGTCTGGCTCTTACCTCCTGCGTGGCAGCTCATGTCCTCACAGAGCTGTACTGAGCTAAAAAGCACAGATCAGGCACAGCATCCAAGAAGCCAAAGCGTTGTGGGGTGGCCAGGGGTAGCTAAATGCAGAATTGTGGCACAACACGTGACCCAGCCTGGCCTTGTGCCCCTTCTCTTCTTCCAGTCATCTGTGGCAGGCGTAGCCATGTACGCATCGCTGCACATACATGATATGCATGATCTCCAGGTGTTTCAATCCTGCTCGGCTGAGCTCCCTGCTCTCTCTGCATGGGATTTCTTCTGGGGGTTCCTGTCTCCCATGTCTGTGTGAAGAAACCCTTGCTCCTTGGTAGCACCTGCATAGCTCACCTGCCCCCTTCATCCTGGGGCACCTTCCGCTAGCTGAGAAATGCCATTCAGGTGGGGGGGGTTGGCTTTCAGCCCAGCATCTCCTTCATTGCTGGAAGGGGCTAAGGCTCTGCAATGTTGGTGCCTATTGAGGGGGGAAATCCAGATTTGGCTGGCAACAACTTCTTGCCCCAGTTTCTGCAGGCTGTGATTGAAGGGAGCCTTTGTTTATGGCTTTGGGGGATCACACTGTCCAGTTGTCCCTGGCTGCCACAGTGCTGAGCCTCTGCTGGGCTGAATCCCGTGTGTGCCAGACATGAGGTGTTGTGTTGGGGAGACATCACGACAAGTTGTATTTATACAGGCTGTTGCTTGGCAGTGCTGTTCCAAGGTGCATCAACATAATGAGATACATAAAAGGGGAAGGCAGTTAAATGTGCAATAACATCACAATAAAAGTAAAACTGAGCATTAATGAAAAATCTGAGTACACTAAGTTTAGTACAGTCGAACACTCCCACTACCTTGGGCCTCAGTGTCCAAACTTAATAATAATTTCTGGCAGTGTTGTTACCAGAATTAAATGAGGGCCTAACTGTCCAGAAAAAGATGTTTGGAAAAAATGGGCCATGAGGCTTTGCAAGTGGTTCTGCTGTGTGGGTGGCCCCAGGGCATCATAGGTAGCGGGGGGAGCTGGGAACCACTGCAAGGGGAGGGTGGTGACTGAGAGTACAGGGTGAGGAGGTGGAGGGAGGAAGAACCAGTGTGGTCATTTTGGAAATGGAGCTATGCACTTGCTGCTGGTGTGCTGTGAAGATGTGGTGAGGGTTTGCATGTGCATGTACATGCTTGGCTCTGACCCCATGCTGTGACTTTCCCATGGCCAGCAGGGCTGCAGGGGATGCTGCTGCCTTTGGTCCAAGGAGGGGGTCTCTGGGCCTTCAAATACACGACCCCAGAAGTACTGACTGTTGGCTAACATGGATGAACTGCTGGGAAAAACTGAACTAAGGCTTTCCTCCTAGTAAATAAAATCTCTTTTCCCTTCTCTCCTTCCCCTGTGTGCCCACCCTGGCAGGTTTTGGAGGCTTGCTTGCCGGTCACCGTGTGCTGGCGCCATGGCACTGAGGCTCCTGGGAATGGGGTCGCTCTCGCTCGTTAGCCTTGGAGTCCTAGTCCTGGTTTTGGCTCTCCCTGCTGATGCTGGGTAAGGTGGTGAGTGCTGAGGCTGTTGGCCAAGGCTGCAGTCCTCTTGCTGTCCTTAAATATTCTGGGGCCAGTACCTGTGTGAAGTAGTCCAGGGCAAAGCACTAGAAGTGTCTTTCACAGAATCGCAAGGGTTGGAAGGGCCCCTTGCCCCTGCCCCATGCCTTTCACCCAGGGACTGTTCAGTCCCTTGTGGCTGAGCTGACTGATTACATTAGCGTTATTTGACATGCTCTCACTAAGGGCAGTTGTCAGCGTTTTTTGCAACAAAACCAATTTTCAGATTTGGCCTCTGCACAATTCACTCTGGGCAAGGACTTGGCTTAGATGAGTTTTAACCTGAAAGAAAGACTCCCTCCCCCCGCTTTAATTTTTTAATACTCTTTTAAAAGAAAAGAAAATGAAACTGTTTCAGCTGTTTGGCTGTTTATGGTGTGACAACCCATGAGTACTACACCTTAGCACAGGGGGGCTCTGGCCAGCCCTGGCTGGGCATGCTGCTCACCCTCTGCCTGGGTTGCGTCCCTGGGCGTGCAGAGGCTCCAGCTGGCCCAGCACAGAGAGCTCTGCCACCAGCCTTGGCTTCCCAGCCTCTGGGAGCCATTGGGAGAAGACGAAAGCCAGTTAATCCGTGACAGGCTCTGCAGCCTTCCTCTGCATCCCACCGGAGCCTCTGCTGATGCTTGGTGAGCTCGGACGGCCTCCGAGGAAGGGAGGCAGAGACACCCCCAGCACAGCCTGCAAGCGCGGGGAGGGAGGAGCTCTGCACAGAGGGAGAGAAATGCAAATAATACATGACTCCTATAAAAAATTTAGAAAAGCCTTTAGAGTGCCAGGTATGGACACTGAAATGCTGTCTGCTGAGTTACAAGTTCAGCAGCGATCTGGGATTTTCAGGCATGAAAAAATGTCAGTGCTGCCACTCCTACTTCACCCACACACCTCTCGGCATGCAGCCCTTTGCCCAGCTGCATGCTCCTACCCTGTCCTGCCCACACTGCTTTGCCTGCTTGGATCTAACTTGGCATAAGCAAATGCATCCCAAGCGTGGCTTGACATGTAGATGCTGATCCTCGTATGGATGTATGGCTGCCTGCCCCTGCCTGCACAGGCACCAGCAGCCCCTTCCCCTGCCCAGCCCTGCCAGCTGCGGGGGCTGTCAGCAGCCCCTGTGCCTGCAGCCCTGGCTCTGCCTTCCCCACTGCTGCCCTTTTGCTTCCCATCACACATTCACTGCTGCTGCTGCCGTTCCCTCGCCACCCGCCACACAGGTACTGCTCTGGTCCGCAGGAGGATTTGTTTCCTAAATTGCGTACGCGGGGACCCTTGTTCGGAGGTCAGCATGCCAATGTGGCAGCAGCTCTCCAGAGAGCATGTGCACAAGGATGGGTGGTGAGGTAATGATTTTTCCTCAAGCCTATCCTAATTAAATTTGCTGTAAACCTCTGTCTTCCCTGCCTAAAGGCTTTTAATTATTTTAAAACCATGATCCCCATACCTCTTTGCAGTTCCTTAGAGTTCTTCACTGGGGCTTTGAGAGAGATAAATGAGACCTGGTTTTACGCCTTGCTAAAGGGCAGATTTAGCTTTATGTTAAGGTTAGATGAACCAGCCCACACCTCGGCTGGACTGGGGAATTAGCCTAAATCAGGTGCCAGGCAGAGGTGCTGCTGGCTCTTCCTGGCCTGCACCTTTCCCTTATCCTGCCTGCACTGCTCTTTCCCCAGCACCTACTGAGTGAATCCCACGCTGCTCACATTGAAGTTGAAACCTCAAATGTCAGGCTAAGTAAAACAGCTTTGAAATTTGTAAACTCATTTTTCCCATCACTGTTGAGCCTCCGCCAGGAGTTCCTTCACAAAAATCTGTCCTCTTGCTCTTTATATTACGGGTAATTTTTAAAGATAGCTTATAAAACATTAATGAATGAGCTTTCACGAGCATGCTAGCTATTCATAAGTTATAGATGGTTATATACCCATCAGCAGACACTGGTACAGATTGCTTTTAACCATGACATCTATTGAAAGCTGGTACAATTGAAACCTCACTAATTATAGTAGGCATTTGTTAAATTCCTCAAAATTCTGCTTACCTGCAGGGAGTTCAGCTATTTCAAATATTTCAAGTCCAGATGAAAAGCCAAAACCAGTGTTTTGATTCTAATGGGAAGTCTTGAAGGCTATGATGCAGTTTGTAACATCAGTGGTGTTCTGACGTTTTGCATCTGACAGGTTGCATTAGGGCTGGGCCAGGCGTTTCCCACCCATGCATCACCCCCCATACCCTATGGGAACTGCAGTTTAAGCACTTTATTAACCTCGTTAGGCTCCTGTAGGCTGAGCTTCCTGGCTTGACCACTTCTCCCATGATAGCAGGTATTGGTTTGCTAAAAACCAGAGGCCAAGCGGCCTTGTGAGAAGTGGGATCCAATCCCTGGAGAAGCGAACCTCAAGCACTTGAAATGCAATTTCCCGGAGTGTTTGGTCATTGATGCCGATGCAAATTAATGTCAAAATTGCCGAAAATGGAATATTTCAATTAGCTGCAGCATGCTGAAGAGTATTGATTCAGCCTGACTCTAAAAATACCCATACCCTGCTCGCAATTTTTCCTTTTGCTAGAAAATACTTTTTGCTCTTCTTTTATCTTAACAGAACCTGGGTTTTCTATTGGGAGAACATTTTAATACAAAACTCCAAGCCAGCTCTGCTACTTGTCATCCTACTGACCCTCACAGAGTATTTACAAATGGACCAGTAGTGTCAGGGGTAACTAGTCTAACCAGATGGGATGCAGCAGGATTAAGCGTTGAACTCCTTAAATATTCTTCTTTCTGGTTTTTTTTCTTCAATTACTTCCTGATGCATGCTTAAACCAGTGGCTGCATACATCAACTGGAGCAAGAGAAAATGAGGCTGGGGAGGAGAAGGAAAGGGGCAGAAGTGTTAGAAAGCAACACTTTAGAGCCTTCTCTTCCTGCAGCTGTGGGGAGTGGGACCCTGCTTCAGAGGGTTATAGGTGCCTTCCCCAGTAATTGCACCCATGTCTTGTACCACCAGTGACTCTCTAGTTTTCTGCATTTGTGGTCTTCATCTGGGCAGTGCTCCCCAGTGACTTACCTCTTCAGTTCGTGGCATGGGGCTGATTTGCCAGTCAGGGCTGCCCCTCTCCCAAGGCGCTCCTAGTGCCGCTGCTGAGGATCTCTCCGCTCCAGCAGCCTTTTATCCCCCTGCCTGGCTGGTCTTCCTCAGCCACCCTGCTGCCTGTCTGTGCCTCTTAATCTTTTTTTGGCCTCATTGGTGTCTCTCTTATTTCCTCTTCCATCTTCCTTGCAATCTCTGCATCTCTATAGATTTTTCTTTTGGTTTTCTGTTACTTAATCTTCTGCCTTTCCATTTGTTTTGGTCCTATCAGCTATTTCTGCTGGGGAAAGCTGTGCTTGGAGCCACAGCACCAGTACTCTGTGTTGTCTGAAATCTCTTTTAGAGACAGCCAGTTTCAGAAGGATTCACAGGCTCCTTTTCTGTTGATTGAAAGGGAGATGCAAAATGCAAATGTATTATTTGAGCCCCTTGGGCTTGCAAAACTGCATTGAAGATTTTGTTTGGTGAGATGAGCTTTGTTTGAGAAATTTGCTACTTATTTTATTCCACCTGGGGCAGAAAATGCCCCTAGGAAATCATCTTATTTGGGGGCTTCAGGCTTCTTGCGTTGAGCAGAGATAGGAACATGAAAACTCATTTGGTTTTATAAACACGCAAAGTTCAACAAACCACAGAAATGGTTCACGAAGAGTTTTAATGATGGACTCAGGCTTCAAGCTTGCTTTACTGAATTCCTCCTTTTCTGCCTCCCTTCCCTCTTCCCAGGAGCAGAGAACTTGGAAATGGCTCAATATGATAAATAACTGGCATCGCTTCTTCTATGCTGCCTATAAGGACATACTGGCACTTGAGTAGCTGAAGTTCACACAGCCTCTGTTCATAAAATGCCCTTTCTTAGGGGCAGGTGAGGGATGCTGGGGCAGGGGAAGGCTCCCATAAAAAACAGGGCTCCAAAACCGCTACTCATGGTAACGCTGGCCCTGGGCATGTAAAGATGGGGAGGAGGCGGTGGGGATGCCTCAGCTTCCATGGTGAGGGCCGTGGTGGCTGATGCCAAAGGGGAGTTGGTTCAAGATACTCTGTGGGGAGTCCTGCAAACTCATTGCCTTATCAACAGGAGTGCCCCATCCTGCAGCTCAGGGCCCATTTCAGCACAGGCTGGAGCCAGCACCCCTTCATTTCCAGTAACTGTTCAGAGCATGTAAAGAGTAGGTTTCTCTTCTGATGGTGTTTTTTCCTCTTTTTTTCTCCTGCATGCCAGGCTTTCTCAGAAGCATGTTTCAGACGTTGTCGATGATAGCAAAGATAACATCACCATTTTCACCCGCATCCTGGACAGGCTGTTGGATGGATACGACAACCGCCTGAGACCTGGACTTGGAGGTCAGTTGGGTGGATGGAGAGATGATGTTTTCCACAGCTGTGTAGCTTTAGAAATGAGAGACTGCACAGATGACTTTTTAGTAAGTCTGGTGCTGTTGGGAGGAGAGGCTGGTTCAGCGCCAGAGTCAGCCTGTTGCTGGTTTCCCCATTTTGAGTCCATGCTATCTTGTTTGATACTTTGTGAGATGAGAGGTGCAAGCCTCTGCCTGCTGTGGTCTTCTATGACATTACATTGATAGGCCTGTAGATGGAGCAAATATGATTAAACTTATTTCTGCTATATCTATAGGCATTACCATTTCAGAAATGATGATGCCACCAGTTTGCAGGACTTTCAACTCGTGTTGGTGTTGCTTTTTAGTCAGCAGGCTTTGCTACAGAGCCTCTTATCTCGACATCTTCTTAATTATTATTTCCTATGTAGCTGTCACCTGGCAAGCTCTTCTGTGTGTGCTGGTCTGGGCATCGGGCAGTCAGCTGGGCTCTGCTGTCTCCTGATCTGCTTTTAACACCGCTGCCATTATAGCTACTGCTGCTGAGTTCCTCTCCCAGGCGCCTACAGATGTTTAAGGTGCTTTAGAAAGCAAACCCATGGTAGTCACCTTCCCTTCTAATGCTTATGGCATACATTTAGCATGATGTAAGGAGGCAGAAGGAGCAGGGAGATGTGTGGGGAAGACAGACGTGACCTTTCTTGGTGAGATGAGGGAGACATGGGCCTGTGTAATTTCTTGGTGCGTTGTTGCCAAGGGGCATGCTGTGGCAGAGAAGATGACCCCTCTCAGGTGCTGGTGACTGTGTGCCACAGGGACCGCTGAAGCAATGTCCCTGTACTGCTCTGAGCTCTCCTGCTCAGCTGCAAAGGTGTGCTGCAGGACCACAATTCCCATCCAAAGCTGGAGTTGCTGTGTGCTCCCCTGTTCCCTGAAGGTCTGGCTGCCAAGGGAGGTTGGGAACCAGATTTCCTGAGCTCTTGCATGCTGGTGGGGGCTCCAGTGATATAGTGCTAACCTGGGATTGCACCCTCCATTTGTCAGAGCAGCCTCATTGTCTCTTCCCAGTCCAAGTCCACCTCTGTGCCATGGCCCTCTGCCCTGCGCCTGTCCAGGAGTACTTTGATCCCATGCAAAATCTAGGGAAGAAAGGTTTCTTTAGTGAGCATCCTCACCTCTGATGGGCTGCCATGCTGCGGACCCAGACAAGAAAGGGTTACTGTGTCTGCATAAGCCATCCATCAGTTTTATTGCTTTTGTTGCTTGTTTCTTTCCCCCAGAATTAACTGCGGTCCCACTAATAGCTTTGCTTCCTCAAGTCTCCCCGATGGCTGTATTGATTTAACTGAAACGAGTTCTGAAAGGGGACTGAGGGGGCATTTATGTTCACCATAGGCTCGGTTGCAGACAACCTCATGCAAAGTATTAACAAGAGGACTCCCAGGAGCCCCTTGCTGGGGAAGTTAAAACCTTTCTTGGAACAACTCTGCTCTGTTGCTTTAGATCCTTTAATAACGTGCTTAACATAATAAATTGTCTTTGCCTGAACCTGACATTGCATGTTTAAAGACTGCTTTCACCTCTGATTTCCCCTTGTGGAGCACTTTTGTGGACCCAGGTGGGAAGTTTTGACAAGGGCTGCAGGTTTTGAGGGCTCTTGGCTGGCAATGAGTCTGGGGTCAGGGGGAGCAGCCTGGTGAGCTTGGCTCTCCCCACTTTTAGCTGGACCTGTTTTCCCCAAGTCTGGGCTTTTATTTCTTGGAGGTTTGTTGGCGCTGCTATCAAGAAGAGCATTACAAGGGAAAGACCTTTCCCACTGCCGCTGGTGGCCAGAGAAGCAGAAATGGTCCTGCTGCAGACTCTGGACTTAGGGGTTAATTAGGTAGCCTGGGGTGATAGTCAGCAAGAGATGGCTCCTGCTGTCCAAGGTGATGTGAGATCTGTGAAAGGAATTGCTTTGCTGCAAATTAGCAGCTGTGCTGCTGGGTGATTCAGTGACTTACAAGGTACATGGGGTTTCCTGTGAGACAGCACCGGGCAGTCCCTGTAGACCCAGCACTGGCTCTCCCTGTTTCCCTTGGGATTATCTTCCACTTGCTTTTCTGAAGATGTCAGGCAAGAGCATCCATTAGCACCATGCAGTCCTGCTTTGGTGCCCGTGGAAAGGGCAGACGCGGCGGTATTGTGCGCACACACAGGCTAATGGAAAGATGGACTGGCCTGAAGTGTGGGTAGCCGGGAAGCAGGACACACAGGCTCCCTTCTTGTTCTTGGTTTTCCTGCTCTGTATGAGGCAGAACCCCCTGAAAACACTGGGTTGGGATACAGACTGAGCAGGATGCAGGGCTGCAGCACCTCCTGGGGCTGCGCAGTGCTGTGTGTGCCTGGGCGCCTGTCCCCCGCATTCGGCAGAGCTGTTTTCTTGTGCGCCAGGAACCGAGCAATGTTTGTTTAGATTTTGGGAAAAGAGACTGTGTAAGCAACAGAGTGTTGATGTGGCGACTTCTCCCCTCAAGATAGCCTCTTTGTATTTATTTTCCTATCCCCTCTGTTTTCACCATCTGCTGCCACCCACTCTAATAGCTCCCATGCCAGAGCTCCTCTTCCTACCAGGATGCTGCAGACACAAACTGAAGCAAACCAGTGCCGAGCGAGGCTGCTCGGGGATGCCCAGTGCTGCAGAGCCAGGCTCCGGGTAAGGGTGGCCCTGTGCCTTGCTGCTGCTCCTGCCCCCAGGAGGTGGCAAAGGATATCCTCTCCAGTGAGGAGTCCTTGCAGACTTCATGGCAGGTAGAGGTCTGTGAGCATACTCCAGGCTAGCTTAGAAGAGGAAAGGTGGGGGAAGAAGGTGGCTGTCAGACCTCTCCTTCTTCAGGAACGCCCCTGTACCACGGGGGACATGACCATTGGTGTCTCAGAGAAGTCTTCCGTGGCAGGTAGGAAGTTTCTCCCTGCCTCTGCCGGGTGAGATGGGGTTTGATCTTAGGGACAGACCTGAGTCTTTTGTTTGGCCCCATGACCACTGAAATACAGTCTGGGCTTGGGGAAGGAGTAGCTGCATAAATAGATCTTATTATAGGACTCAGAGTGGGGGAGGAGAGGAAGGAACTGTCAGCAGATAACCTGTGTTTCCCCTGGGAAAACACAGGGCAGATTGGTTATTAAGTCAGAAGAGGAACAGAAATGGACCCCGAGGGGATGGAGACATCTGTTGTCATGGCCAACCTTGCAGGATAAGAAAATCTCCCACTGAGAGAGTTTCAGTGAACAGTGTGGGCCTCCACTCCTGGTCTGGAGCTGTGCAATCACACAGATCTTCTTCCCAGCACCATGGGGGCTGAGGTGGAGGGGGGCATCTATTTCTAGCTCTCAAATTGCCTTTGCTGGGGCTCCCTGCAGAGCTGGCATGTGGAGATGCCTCCATTGTGAACCTGGAGCTTGTCTTGCTTCCAGGAGTAGGAGAGAGGAGATGTGGCCAGGAGAAAGAGGTAGAACTGTCCAACAAAGGGAAAGACATCATATACCCAAAAAGAAGAGATGCTCAAGGAGTGGGATATGAGCGATGGGACCATGAGTGATCCTCCAAGAATGACTGATGTACAACAATACCCTGTATATCCTTGTGCTGCTTACTGTGAAGAGTGATTGAAGTTCTGCAATCCTTACATGGCCAGTGTGATGCAGAGTGTGCGCACTCCCAGCACAGTTACCATGAGAGGGGATGCGGTGGTTGGGTTTTTTTGAGGTTCAGTGGTGGTCCCTGAGCAGCTGTACCACCTAAAGCCTTATTTCCTAACCCATGAAGTTTGGGTCCATTGTGCTGCAACTGAAACTCAACCATCTTGTGAATGCCTGGGGAGGGGCAGGAGGGAAGGGTTCCAGACTTGCCCCAGCCTTTTCCTTCCTTACAGCCTTGAGAATCCTTTTAACATACTTTCGCAATACAAAGCTATCGGGGAGCACCTTACTGCTCAGGGGGGAGGCACATGGGGCCTTTCTGTAGCTGTTTGCAAAACAGGGTAGGGATTTCTTCCAGCTCAGCCAGACATGGTCTGCTTCCCGGGGACCAGGGGTATATCAGAGGTACTATTTGGTGTAAGGATGAGGAACCCTGAGGGCATCTGGAACAGTGGTGGACAAAGTCTCTGTAGAGAAGGAGAGAGTAGGCTGTTCAGTTTTTCTAAAAGATGGGCTGTAAACTTTCTAGATAAGCCAGTTTCTCTGCAATTAAAAAGTAATTTGTACCACGTTAATCAGTTAGCTGGGATCGATCAGTGTTATCCCTCCTGGATGCATCATCGCTTGCAAGGTAACTCGTGGTATTTCCTTGAAGCTTCTACCACGTGTCTCTGGAGTCCCTAAATGTCTGCCTAGGCCCTGCTGAGGGAGTGGTGGCTGGCGAGCGTCCTGCAGCTCTGTGTCCGCACAACATGCTTCTGGACAGTCGAGGGTTAGAAGCCTACTGAAGTTTTCAGGGCATGGGGTTTACTGGGACCAACAAACACAGGCAACTGGATTTAAGCAATGCCATTCCCTAGACAGAACAAGGCACTTGGCCCATTTGGTTTCTTCTTCTTGGGGACAGGGCGTGGTGCCCATTCCTTGTCCTCAGCGTTGGCAGCAAGTGGGTCGCATCCAGGCAGAGGGGAAGCCTCAGTTTGGAAGCTTTACAACTGGGTATATCTGGAGAGTGAAAGCAACCCAGGCTCATGGCTGCCTCCTCTTCCTCATCTCCGCTGGGTTGCTCTTTGTGGCTCAGTGTCAGCATCTGGGCTCAGCGCAGATGCGCTTGGGCTCGAGAAGGTTTTGGTGTTGTCAAGCTCTGCTGCTCACAGTAGGACTCAAATCAGGGATGCCCAACATGGCCCTACGGTGCCTTTTATCTGGCCTTACTATGTCAGCTCTGCCCCGCTAAATGCTTTTGATCTGTACCCACCTGTTAATATTTATCCTGCTGATGCATTCCCTTTATTCTTTTATAAGTGAAGTGCACCTCAGTTGGAGTTT